GAAGGTGTTCTACTGTTCCCTACTTCACCTATCTTCAGGTTCTTATAATGCTCAGAATTAACTACTCTGGATGTACAAAACAAGTCCTTTTACTTTTTGTGACTTGCCAAGCTAACAGACATGGGCTGCCTTTACCTATCTTAACTGTCAGATGGTTTTGAAACCCTTTACTTGACAAAATTAAAATATTGTGAAGTAAGAAAGTGGCAGTGTTGTCATCTGTCCATTTGTCCAGTAGCTCTTTACTATGGGATAATTATAATGATCCTGTGTATGCTGACTCCCACAAGAGGGCATTTGAGAATAAGCTTTGATTTCATAGAAAATCTTTTCCTTGCCTTCCTCAGGGCTGCTTCTCTCTGTCTGCCTATCTTTGTCACAGTAATGGGCAGTCCATGCAGCAGGCTGCAAATTTGCCAGCATTCAGATACACACCCTTTTAATAGTAAGAACTGTACATGAGAGAAGAAGCTTAAAGAAGACTCCCTGCTCCTCTCAGCACTCTCGGGTATTTAGGATGCTGTTGTCCTGCTGATTTTCAACAGCAGGAGAGAGCTGTTCCCCCCATCCTGGCCTGCTCCCTCCCTTTCATGGTATTGCCTCCTCCCAGCTCTGCTTCCAGGGAAGGAACAAGCTCTGTAGTCTGTGGAGCATACCCAGACAAGGCCATTGAAACAGACAGCTGTATCCCTCCTGTCCAACGCTGCCCTTCCAGCAGAGCATTCATGCACAAGGCATGCAACACCAAAGCTGAGTCATGCTGCCAGAACAGAGCTAGTGAACAGTAAGACAAGCAAACAACTAGGCTTAAGACAGTTTTTTGCACCTGACCAGCTCAGATGATAAAGCTAAACTCTACTTGGAGATGCCTTTTAAAATGCTAGGAGAACAAAAGCACATATGGGGGAAAAAGAAAAAAATTAAAATCAGCCCTAAACATTTTATACATTTACTGGATTTTATAAAATTTCAGTTCCTTGAGCAAAATTTCAGCTCCTTTTTCTCATCAGAAAAATACAAAGTGTGATTGACAGGGTGCTAGCAGATGTTGATGAACTTTTGGACTTTTGCCTCTGTGTAGTCAGAGCTAACTATGGTAGCTCAGGAAATACAATGTTTACCCTCAGCAGGGAAGATGCTCCGGCAGTACCATGGCCTGAGCTGGGTTTCATTGGCTCAATCCCTGAACTGGCCCAGTGACTGCTGCCTCCCCTCCTCCAGCTTCAGCTCTGGGGGTTGTCCTGCTGCAGAGGGGGTGACACCTCCTGCCTGTCACTGCCTGGCAAAACAAAGCCCTTTGTGTATCCGAGACTGCAGGGCTGGGGACCATTGCCAGGCTGCAGCTGGCAGTCCCGGACAGGATATGGGCTAGATGAGAAAATGTGTAAGAATAACCCCAGCTGGATCCCTAACTAAGGAGGAAGAAACCCCCACCAGGAACATCATTCCTCTCTTGGGAAAGGGCTCAAGGTGTTAATGACTAGGGCCTAGACTCCTTCACGCCTTGAGAAGACTGAAACTGTCACCTGTAGGAAACAGAGGGACACTGGAATGTTGATCATAACTCAAAAAAAAAATGGGTAGACATTAGTAAGTTTTCTGGTAAAACAATTTTTACTGTGCTGTTAATGGTGCTTTTCTACATTCAGTATATAATATAGATTTCTAAATTCCCTAAATATTAACTGGATAAACAAAAAATAAATATGTAGCAACTATATTTCCTTTTCCCCTTTAAAAGGTTTTTAGTGTACCACTGTTATTATGGCAGTATCTTCTTGGACCATTAACATCAATCCTAAAACTCAGAAAGACGTGAAACATTCTTTTACCACTGTCTGCTTTTCTTAGAAAGTAAAAGCTCAAATATATGGTATTTTGCATCAACAACTCTTTCTAGGGAGGCTGAAGCAGTTGTTGGAGGGAGCAAACCTAATGACATCTGCAATGGCTGACTGTGCATTTACAAATAGTATGAACACAGATCAAAATACTCTGTGTAATCAGGAGGATCCTTATCCCCACTTCCAATTCCAGTCAGTAGACTGAATGATTTTTTTCTTGTGGTAGCTGTCCTGTCTCACAAAAAAGCCAGTTTAAGTGAGATCAATAGTACATTCATGATGAAAAGTCTCCCACACAGGAAATGGGGGAGAAAATAGAGCCTTTTCATAGCAGCCTATTATGCAGTCATGTAAACTTCTATGATTTCAACATAGGCCTTGAGGCACCCATTAAAATTTCCCCATAACTCACCTGTAACTGTTCTACTGTTGACAGATTTTGACTTCTTTTTGTCTTGGAATGAACAGATATGTTACTGGCAAACTGTGCATTGCTATAAATCTAGGATAAAGTGTTCTTCCTAAGGAGAACATACTCTGTTCAAGGCTGCCTTGGTGACATCCACACATTAGTTTAAGTACTTCTTGTTCTGTAATGTGGATTCCATCATACCCCAAAGTAGTGTAGCTGTATTTTCAAAGGAACAGCTTTTCCTGCATTCCTTAGTTCAAAATGACTGCAATCTACTACAGAAAAGTTGTATGTTTTCTATTTTGATTCTTGCAGCATAGTAGTATATTTTTAAAGCTCCTTCTTTTAAAACTATTGCATTAAAAATGCTTCTATTACATAAACAAATACTTTGTAAACACCTCCGTTATTTTCATGATTGACACAAAGTAGGCAAATATCCTGCAAACCCATGACAGCAAATCCACTTATAAACTAAAAAAGGACAGCATGATCTTCTAAGAAATAGAGCACAGCTCAGTTTTAAAATGCTGAATAATATAAGAATAATAAGAATAGTTGGCACAAATCAAGCAAAATCACAGATGTTTGTGGAAGCTGCAACTATTATCGGTTCCACAGATTCTAAATCTCTGTGTATCATCTTACATTCCTTATGTACCATCTGCCTATTTTTAACCATTGACAATATATGTATGAAGTGCTCCTAAACTGGATGTCAAACCACATTACATCCTTGTCTCTAAATTGAAGAGACATCAGTTTGATAGATGGACCACTCGGTGGATAAAGAACTGGCTGGATGGCTGCACACAAAGAGTTGTGGTCAATGGCTCAATGTCCAGCTGAAGACCAGTAACGAGTGGTGTCCCTCAGGGATGGGTTTTGGGGCCGGTCTTGTTCAACATCTTTGTCGCTGACATGGACAGGGGGATTGAGTGCACCCTCAGCAAGTTTGCCGATGACACCAAGCTGTGTGGTTTGGTTGATATGCTGGAGGGAAGGAATGCCATCCAGAGGGACCTCGACAAGCTTGTGAGGTGGGCTGATGCCAGCCTTATAAAGTTTAACCATGCCAAGTGCAAGGACCTACACCTGGGTTGGAGCAATCCCAGGCACAGCTACAGGCTGGGCAGAGAAGAGATTCAGAGCAGCCCTGTGGAGAAGGACTTGGGGGTGCTGGTCGATGAGAAAATGAACATGAGCAGGCTTCAGTGTGCACTCACAGCCCAGAAAGCCAACCGTATCGTGGGCTGCATCAAAAGGAGAGTGACCAGCAGGTTGAAGGAGGTGATCCTGCCCCTCTACTCTGCTCTCGTGAGTCCTCACCTGGAGTATTGTATACAGTTCTGGTGTACTCAACATAAGAAGGACATGGAACTGTTGGAACAAGTCTAGAGGAGGTCCACGAGGATGATCAGGGGACTGGAGCACCTCCCGTATCAAGATAGGCTGAGAAAGTTGGGTCTGTTCAGCCTGGAGAAGAGAAGGCTGCATGGAGACCTCATAGCAGCATTCCAGTGTCTGAAGAGGGCTTATAAGGGTGCTCGGGAGGGACTCTTCATAAGGTACTGTAGTGACAGGACAAGGCTCAGTGGGTTTAAACTTTTACGGGTAAAGATTAGATTGGATATAAGGGAGAAATTATTTACTGTAAGGATGGTGAGGCACTGGAATGGGTTGCCCAAGGAAGTTGTAAATGCTCCATCCCTGGCGGTGTTCAAGGCCAGGTTGGACAGAGCCTTGGGTGAGATGGTGTAGTGTGAGGTGTCCCTGATCATGGCAGGGGGGTTGGAATTAGATGATCTTAAGGTCCTGTCCAACCCTAACTATTCTATGATTCTATGATGCTGGTGTTATTATCAACTGAAATGCTCTATTTACTTCTAACTTATTTTTTCCTACTTGTCCCTAATTATTCTACTTGCTTCTTCAATCTTTTAATTCTCCATAATAGATCTCTTTCATTTTTGTCTTTCCACTGGTCAACAGATTTTGAGCTCTCAGTACATATTTGTTTGGCTTTTTATTACAACACCCACTAACTGTGTATGATTACTGGGACTGCCACTGCTTGTCTTCCTGTTACTGCTGATGACTAATGCTGCTCCATTTGCCCCTATGAAATCAGCAGCTGAAAATCAGTTGCTCCAGCCTCTGAAATCACAACATGTTTGTTGTTAATATGGCATACTTTTGGAGACAGTGTTATTGATTTCCCAATGATCCTGTTAGGTGCTTCTGGCAGAAAGTAAGGCCATGAATACTGCTCCCAGTGCAAGAGTTACTTTCGTAAACCTGGTAGACACAAATAAAAGTTCAGTTTACAAGCTATTTATCATAAGGATTTGATGGCTTCTTTCTGAAGAGTACAAAGCATTCCTTCGCTAAAACTGTATTTGCATTTCTGTCTCAATTGAGTATGTCTCTGATATGATCATCTGAAGATAAACAGCACCTGCTGTAGCTGTCATTGCTCACCTATATAGACTAGGTCTCTTTGAACACTTTTTTTCCTAGGCAAAGTATAATTTTGCTTTCCATCAATTAATCAAACAGCATGCACACTGCTTTCAATTTTTATCATATTACTAGGGAGATTAAAGCAGATTAGCAATAGCACAGAGCATCTTTAATGCTAAAATGCTGAACAAAACACAATTAAAAAGTTTCTTTTAATTTCAGAAAAAAAAATTAAAAAGTTTAACTATGCAATGTCTTTCCAGAGTTAAAAGAAATCTTACCAGTGAATCCTGGAGGACAAATGCAGCTGTAGTCTGCAACCAGGTCTAAACAAGTTGAATTGCTTTTACAAAAACCGTAAGTGCACTCATCAAAGTTGATTTCACAGTTCAAACCTTCAAACCCTTTTTAAAAAAAAAACAAAAAACAGAGAGCTATTTATTATTCAGCTATATCTGTGCTTCTTTTTAAAGCATGCTTTTGGGTCCCTTTTTCTAAAGAAACTAAAAAAAAAACCAATTATTTTCAATTTACTTGTGTAATAACATTGTCTTGAAGTCTTACTGAAAGATCTTCCTAGAAGATTTTTCTGCTCTGTCATTAACAGGAAAATACATTTACCATCAAATATATTTTAAAAGGAGCTAGTAACTGGAAGAACAAGCTTAGTATTCAGTATTTTCATTAATTTAGTTGAATTATTTGTTTAGCAGAATCTATGTATCTTCTGCCATTTTGAAAGCATTGCAGAAGAAGATAAGTGATTCTGGAATTTAGACAGCTGATTATAGTTTTAAAAATCAGCTCTCAAATAATTACTTCTCTACTTTTTCCCTATTTGTTTCTTGTGTCATAGTGACTTTTACTAAACTCAGAAGCCCAACAGTATTTTTTTGTACTTGAAATTGCTGTAGAATCTGCACTCCAATAGCTGACATTTTATGCTCTTCTAAATGCATTCTAATTCATGGTCATGGTACAAAATGACTATCATTAGTGTTGTCACAGGCCATGGCTGCAGGAAGACCATGACTAATGCTAAGCTATCAGCACCCTCAGTGCAAGGCATATTCCCGTAATTTCTCAAACTGACCATGGAACCAATTTCCACTGATCCCTAAATCATAAAACTTTAGAATTACCCTCAGTTCATTAGTAATGTATACAGTAACAGCTCTCATTTGCATTTAGAGTTTAATCAGACCCATGTCTCACAGGTAACAAGTACACCACAAAATTATCAATGTGGATGCCAAGATTTATTTTTCCATAAGCTGGTCAGGCAGACCAGCAGAATGATCTTTCTCCAGCTTAATTTTCAACTGTCTTCAGTATCTGTTTTGGCTTCCAATTTAAGCTAACGATGGAATGTGTACTTATGAGAATTATTTGTAGCAATTTCATCTTTTGTGAAGTTTCTGAACTCATCACCACTAGAATACTTGAATATACAACCCCCTGAAATATTCTAAGCTTTAAAATCAACTCAGCATCAGTCTATCATTACAAAATAGTAAAAAAACCTCAAACAAGTATAAGAAAGTTTAAAACAAAGTACCAGGTTATAAATCACTTGACTTTATTTTTAACTAAAAATCCAATTAAAAAAAATAAACCCAACATAAAAATATTCAGAAGAAATCTATTTGTGAAAGTATTTCAGGAAGACCTGTAAGTTTAAATGTTTTAAAGCATTTTAGTTTTCCCTTTAACTACTTCTTTCTTGAAAATATTCATTTGTTCATCCATGTCTGGTAACACTGAGCAGTTTATGCATTCTTAAACAAACAGACCCAGTGCTGAAAACCTTTTTTTTTTTTTTGTCTCTGAAAGTTTTAATAGATTTCTGCAATGAAGATATATTACAGTCATTATTATGGTCATTGTAATTTTGTAATTTACTTACTATGCTCAGTCATAAAGCTGTAATTTAGTACATCAGGATAAACCAGATTCTTTGTAAGTTCATTGATTACATTTTCTGTGGATTTCACATACTGCTCATTTGTGCTTTCTCCACTCCTTCAGACTTTGCTAAAATCATGAGGTTCTGTCCAAAAAACAGCAGCAGTTACAAGTGTACCTCCCTCCATTCTTAATGAGAATGTTTGTTTTATTGGGTGTCTTGGTGGACAAAGATGCAAATGAGACTTCAGAAAAGAGTGAATAACTTCCACACAAAGGAAATTTTAACAATGGCTTTGAAGACTGTCAAGCACATGTTTTGCAGACTTCAGGCAATTTTTAGAATTGTCAAAAATAATAAAAGTAAATTATTTTGAACAACTTACCTTCAGGGCAAAAACACTCATAGCTGTTGACATCATTCTGACAGACAGCACCATTCAAGCAGGGAGCTGAATTGCACTCATTCACTTCTATTTCACAGTACTGGCCTGAAAAACCTGGAAAGGAAGCAAGATTATCTTTGATTGCCTTCATCTTTATGTGTTCTATTAACACGGAACTTTTATTCCAAACGCTGTTCTGTAATTAAAATCAGGAGGTGTTGCAATCTATATTCATAAAATTTATTTATAAAATGCACAGCTTCTGCAGTTTATTTACAAAGAATTAGATTTCACTTATTTCTGATTCCATATCACAAAGACATGCATTTGTTACTGGAATAGAGCAATAAATTAAGCATGAAGTACTTCCAGAAGACATTCATAGTGATATGCAAATATACAGATTTTCAAGTGGTTTGCTTGTATTACAGTCACTTTAATAATCTTATAACACCTTTCTTGAATTTTGCAGTGTCAGGATAAGACAGAGCAGATCGATTATCTCTCATCCATTGTCTAGGGATTTCTAACGTGGAGAGGAGCAGTAAAAAATACAGAGAACAAATACACTGAGGAATAACAAACACATGCCATACAAGTCAGGTCTTCAGCACATGTAAAGTGTACAGCTTAATTACAGTAGATGAGGATATGTTGCTAAAGAAGGGAAGCAGACACCTCTAAAACAAAAACCCAAAAGACTAGTGAAACTTACAGAAGGAACAGATAAGTCAGTTGTCTTGTTTCTTGCAGGTACTCTGACTTGCTGTGTGGTCAGTGCAGTTGCCCAGGTGCTGGCAGTGGGGTCTGCAGGCCTCCTCTGTGAGGAGGTGCTGGGGCTGCCCTGTGCTGACACTGTCAGCTCCAGATGGATCTAGCCCACCCACTGCAGGGCACATCTGAGCCCCCAGTGGAGGGGGGAGTGCCTCTGGAAAAGGTTTTTAGTAAAGGGCAAAAGCTGCACAGGTGGAGTGAGGAGGAGGAAAGAGTGAGAAACAATCCTGTGAGCACCAAGGTCAGAGAAGGAGGGGAGAGGAGGTGTTCCAGGTGCTTGTGGAGGACCCCATACTGGAGCAGGTGGATGTGCCCTGAAGGAACTGTGTCCACAGAGAGCCCACACAGGAGAAGTGGAGAAGTGTGAGGATGAAGGAGCAGCAGAGAGCTGTTATGTGCTGACTACAGCCTCCACTCCGTGCCCCCTTGTGCTGATCGTGGCAGGAAGGAGAGGAGTAGAGAATGAAGGAGTCCATTAAGCCTTGGGGGGAAAAGAAATCCAGAGATGGGGATGGTGTTGTTTTGATTTGTCTTTCTTTCTCACTATGCAAACCTACATTAATTGGCACTAAATTAAGCCAGTTTTCCCCAGTCTAGGTCTGTTTTACCCATGACTATCTGGTAAGTGATCTCCCTTTCTTTATCTTGACGTATAAGGCTTTCATTTTTTATTCTTCACCCATGCTGGTAAGAAGGCAGAGTGAGAGGGGGCTCTGGCAGCCAGCCAAGGTCAACCCAATACACATCTATGGCTTTGTTCTATGTTCTATGGTCCAAATATCCCCACTCCTCTTTATGCTATCATTAACATGTTCAGTTTGATTGGAAGAAAAAATAAATCATAGAATCACAGAATAGTTAGGGTTGGAAAGGACCTTAAGATCATCTAGTTCCAACTCCCCTGCCATGGGCAGGGACACCTCACACTAAACCATGTCACACCGGACTCCATCCAACACTGCCAGGGATGGAGCATTTATCACTTCTTTGGGCAACCCATTCCAGTGCCTCACCACCCACACAGTAAATAACTTCTCCCTTATATCTAATCTAAACTTCACCTATTAAAGTTTAAACCCACTGAGCCTTGTCCTGTCACTACAGTACCTCATGAAGAGTCCCTCCCCAGCACCCTTATAAGCCCTCTTCAGACACTGGAAGGCTGTTATGAGGTCTCCACGCAGCCTTCTCTTCTCCAGCCTGAGCAGCCCCAACTTTCTCAGTCTATCTTCATACGGAAGGTGCTCCAGTCCCCCGATGATCCTTGAGGCCCTCCTCTAGACTTGTTCCAACAGTTCCTTGTCCTTTTTATGTTGAGGACACCAGAACCGTCCACAATACTTCAAGTGAGGTCTCAAAATTGTATCTTTATTGTTACTAAATAAATAAAATCCATATATAAAATGAAAGTGCATCTGTTGAATGTTTTCCATCGGTTCAGTTTCTTTTCACATACCTTTGTGTAATTATTCAAATGGAGAAAAAGCTTTTGTTTTTTAGATGATGTTCCCAGGACTTTAATTCTAAAGGATGTATAGTGAAAGCACACCACAGTGTTAAACAGATGTTTACTGATGTAAAGCAAAAAAATCCTGATGTTTCCTTAAAAAAATATTTTTAAAACTAATAAATAGAAATAAGTCAATTTAAAAAAGTATGTCAGAAAAGACATATGATTTTACATCTTTCCTTCCTATTTTCATGTCATCTTTAAAGTCTCTCAACCTTATCTCAATTAGAAAACACATTCAAAAGCCTTCAGAATCGTAATAGAATATCTATCCATGATGAATTTGTGAATACCATAAAAAATAATTTGCATAGAATTCATATGTGTGTCAGCAAAATAACAACAAATGCAGATAAATAATAGAGTGTCCCAGCACAATCAATGTGTGAGTTGTTTTCCCTCTTTCTTGCAGATATTTTTTGCCTGAATTCTAATATATGGCTGGGTTTCTGACATAAGATACAGAGCACAAACTGCACAGAATACAACAGAAGTCAGACATTAGACATGCTTTCAAAGAATCTCCTTTTCAGTTTCATCTTAAACTGAACTTTTTTACAAGGCACCACACAATCATACATTTGGATTATTCTAGGTTATTTGGTATCATACATTTCTTACGATTACACCAAAATAGCAAGGAAAATTTAAATAGTCTGTGGTAGTTAAAATATTGATGGTAGAGGGTATAAATCATGCAGATTTATGAGTTAAACTGTAATGCTTGTGTTCATTTCACAGATGTTGTAATTTACCATGAATACAAGCCATTCTGTTGCATTTGGAAATATGAGTAGTCCTTACTTTTTCAGAGGATACATTACTAAACAATAATGATAAAATATCATCTAGGGAATGGATTTTTTGTTAAGAACATGTTTTTTTTTTTTCTCCAAGGCTTTCTTCCAGAAGTGAAATATTGTTTCTATTTGCAGATGCAATAAAAGACTGTTCAGCTAGCATTGTTAAATTAAAGCCAGGGAACTCCATGCCATCCCTCCCAGGTTATAGTATGTTATTCTGTTGCATTGTGGAACTGGCCTCAATAACCTAGGATGTCCCCACTTGCCCTAATTTCCAATGAGCTTTATCATCCCACCATTTAATTTTTAGAAGCGTGGAAGTATTTACGATTGCATAGTTGGTAATTTTGAAGCATTGGTTTTTGCATAATCCATATTGCCCTACTTTTTTTTTTTTAATGTCACTTATCCTAACAACTTTGTATTGTTCCAGAAATGTATCTTTGAACATCACAAACTTAAATTTGTTTAATCCACTAAAATTGAGAATTATATGTGACGTGTTTTCTAATATAACTTCTGAGACGATTGCCATTTTAACACTTAGCCAGTATCATAGGTCCTTATAAATAAAATTAAAATAAAAAAAAAAGGCAAAACAACCAAGTATCCCAGTCTCTTTGTTGTCACAAGTGATTTCATATATAAGCATTAATGTTATGAAGACTGTCTTCAGCCCCCTTCTATTAGCTGGAAAGAACACAGCAGTCAGCAAGTGAGCAGTGCATCCAGTTTCTACACAACTGAAGATCACTTAGGAAAGTTTCTCAGATCACTTAGAATTACAGGCCATGAATGGGTCATTACATGAACAGTAACAAGTCTGAAATTCTGTTTTCTTTCCTGAAGATTCAACTTCTATATATTTCATCTAGGATACTTTGGCAAAAGATCTATAGCCTACACCAAACAGTCTGACTACATTTCTGAGATAGCGTTGAAATTAATAGACCTGATATGGATGGCACAGAGCATAGCTATAGCAGCTTACACTGCTTAATAGGATAGCTGCTTATATGAAGTGTCTAAGCAAGCTATAGATCACAGGCTGAGCTCCATGCTGTGACAACACAGTTTGCTATCTACCTGGGTTAAAGATACCATGATCTCACAGACACACATTATCATGTTTACTTCCAAGTCTAGTCCTACTCAACCTAACTTTCTTCCACTTGGAATTTAGAACAGGCAAATTGCCTATTCTTATATGTTCCACCTGATAATCTCATGTTCAAAGTGGAAAAACAATGAAGAATGGGATTAAATGCTGTTGAAAAAGTATTTCCAGAGTTTTACAAATTAGTAAATTTAACAGCAATCCCTCTAATAGAACTGTTTCACAGCATATCCAAAAAGCAGAACTGTGTATTTATTAATTATCGGAACAGTATTTTCAGACCAGCTCTATGGTGAGAATATAAATAAAAACCCACATGATACAAAGTAGTAGAAAATAGCAGTTTTATCTGTGCAATGATGGGAATATGCACAAGTACACTGTCTGCATATTTAATATGCAGTTCTGTATAGGAAGAATTTTGCCACCAAAAAAAAAGCCAACCCAAAACCTTAAACAAAACATAGAACTGTAAAATTAGACTCTATTCACAAATTACTAGATGGGTGCTGTGGTTTCAAGCTTCCAGTGGAAAACATAACAAAATGAATTAGGTTTAAAATCTGTTTCTCATAACCTATCATCTAACTTCCTAATGAATAAAGGCATGTAAAACAGTTCAGATTTTAAACACAAACGATCATTTACCAATGTATTATGAGATTAGACATCATGAAAATGAAAAGCCGAGAGGCAAAATTAATTACTATAAATCCTCTATTGTAAATTCTAACAGACTACATACATGAATTTTCACAAGTTTAGTCCTTCTTTAATTAAGACAGAGTTATTTCTTTGATGAATTATAAACTGGGCACTTTGAAGATCATATCAGATTCCCAGGGATGTTATTAGCTGTTTCAGGGGGCTCACCAAAGTTTCAAATTTAGAAGTCCAGAAGAGTGAGTTT